TGCAAGTGAATGTGAAATACAATTTTACAATTAGGAGGTTAGTGTAGAGCATCCAGCACTATGGCAGCTTGTGTAATTTCTTGCTGATCTGGCTTGTTTCTTTGATAAGAAATACTATCTAGGCCTGTAACTATTTAAACTCCCACCACTTTTTTTCCTTCAGCATTTCTGAGTCCTTGGCCAGGTGAATATGTATTCCCATAGTGAGGAGCACAAATTCTCTGGTAGGTCATCCAAGTTATTTTAATTACAACTAATCAGCTTCATGATTTCAGGGCATTCTTCCCAATTCCAGTTGGTTGTACCTTTCCCCCACTTCACATGAAGCTTTTCTGTACTGACAATCTGTTTTATACTGGATACACAGGCAATAGTCTTGTAAAGGATTCTCTACCAGCTCCCATAATTGCACTCATTCTAATTATTCCATAATTAATCACATATTCTATGCTACTCATACTGGTTCTGCCTCCCTGATTAAACTCTTACTGATCTAAGTGGTATGCAGAATATACAAAAAAAAATCTACAAATAAGTAAAACCAGCAAAAGAGAAAAGTAAGCAAAAAAAAAAAAAACAGAAAAGTCACACAATAGGAAAAAAATGAAAAGGTAACACAGGATGTTCAAACTCATAAATAATCAGAAAAATAAAAATTAGTTAAAAAATAAAAAAAAACATGAGCTACTATTTCATCCTCATCAAAGTAGAAAATAGTAAAACTGATGAGAACTCTAACCACTTTCAAAAATAATTTAGAAATACCACAAAGCTTAATATGGGCATTCCCTAAAACCTACTAATTCTGCATGTACAAAGAATTCTGGAGGAATTCAAGACAGTAAAAACTGGGGATAGGGTGACATGTAATATCCTTTATCTTGAGAATAATTATACTAACATAGATATATTTGATGTTGAGGATATTAACCTTGAAGTTGGTCATACAGCAGGAGGAGAAAGTCTTTGTTGGCAATTGAGTATCCCTTAAGGTAGCCCCCAATGATCTCTTCCATCAGGTAATCATGTCCTTGTATAAACCCACCCCCTTATGTATGGGCTTGATTTAATTGCTTATATCTGGAGAATAGAATGTGGAGTGGTAACAGACTTTAACCCACAAGATGAAGCCACAAAAAGATTGGCCTCTACCTTGGGAATCCTCTCTAATTTTGATGGATATCAGGTAATTTATCATGAGCTTCCTTAAGGAGAGATCCACATAACAAAGATTTCATAGCCAGCCAACATCTAACAAGGACCTGAGGACAAACAATCATATAGGTAAATTTGGATGTGGATCCTCCCTCAGTTTTGCTTTGAAATGATGAGAATACTTTATGACACTCTGTAGAAATATGAGATCCCATACTCAAGGCACCCAGATAAACCATGCTCAGATTCCTGACCCATAGAAACTGTGAGTTAATAAATGTTTTAAGCCACTGAGTTTGGGGTTGTGTTACTCATCTCGGTGTTGCTGTGACCAAAATACCTGACAAGAAAAACTTACAGTAGGAGAAGTTTATTGGGGGCTCATGGTTTTATAAGTTCATTCCATGGTTAGTCAACTTCAGTACTCAGTACTTTAGTTCCAAGATGAGGCAGCACATCATGGTGGAAGAGAAAGGCAGAGGAAAGCTTGTCACTTTCTGTTAGTCCAAAAGTAAATAAAGAAGATGAGGTGGAGGGCCAAAACACAAACCCTGAAGTCATTTCCCTAGTTATCTATGACTTGACTCCTCCAGTCATGCCCTACCTGCCTACAGTTATCAAATCCACTCAAATTTTTAATCAATTAAATGGATTATTCAGTTTATTAGGTTATAACTCTCATAACCTAATAATTTCATCTCTGAAAACTCTGCATTATGTAACATGAGTTTATTGGGGACACCATCCAAACCATAACATTCTATCCCTGACCCCAAAACAACACATTTATCTTACAATGGAAAATTGTGAGATATTTAATTAATCATCAAGTGTCCTCATAATTTTAAAGAGTTTCAGATTTGCCCAAAAGTTTAAGCCCAAAATGTCCTCCAAATCTCAAAGCAAACTCTTATCCATGAGTCCCTATTAACAACAACAAAAAAGATAAAATACTGTATATTTTCAATATACAGTAGCATAGACTAAATATTCCCTTTCCAAAGGGGAGAAAGAGAGATATAGAAGGAATGATGCCAAAACAAGAATGAAAATCAGCTGTAAACATTAGGTCCTATAGCACCATATCTAGCATCTGGGGCAAATGGAAGTGAACTGTGCTCTCCAAAAAGCTTGAGCTTTAGGCCCTGCCCTATGGCCTTACTGGCTGCAGCCCACATCATCTCTCTCTTAAACTGGCTCTGTATGCAGATAGCAACTACCTCAGTAGATGTTCCTCATTACAGGCCTCTCTTAATCCCCAGGGTCCCAAGGTAGCTTCAGTTTCCTTCTTACAGTTTCACATATTGCCCTCTCAAGGACTTTCCATAAAGATTCCACCAGGCTTTCTTTTGAAAGCTTTGTGAAGCTTCCATGATGCTATAACTAGCATCCTGTGTTCCTGAAGAAACAGCACCAAATGGACGATGCCAACATCTGCCATCAACTGAAGCACTAGCTTGACCACAACTGCAGCAATTTCTAGTACTGGGGTGGATAAACATGGTGAAATGAATCCTAGTGAAATACCTCCTAGGTTCCTCTGTGTAAGCCAGGTGCCCCCCAAGTTCTCTTAAATGAGTTTTCATTTTTATACCCTTGAGCCTGACATGGGTATGGTTTTGTTGATTCCTGAGATGACTTTAAGGCACCTTTTCTATTGTCTATATGCAAAACACTTAGATTCTCTTTATAGGCAGTAATCTCATCAACAACCATGCCTTGCTTTGTCCCAGTCTTATGTCTGCTTTTCTGTACAAACTGCAAATTAAAAAAAATATATATATTAATCTGCTTTCTGATCCTAGTTCTGCTCCTGGATAAAAGCTGCCAGAAATACCCATGCCACTGCCTGAATACTGTGTTACCTGAAATTTCCTTCATCTGGTTAATTAGCCCATCACCTTTAAACTCAACCTCACAGAAAGTCTCTGAGCATGGGGAAAATGTAGACATGTTCTTTGCCAGAATTTAACATGAATGGCCTACAGTCCAATTCCAAACAGAGTCCTCATTTCCTGAAAAGTCATGAACATAGTCTTTAATGTCTGCATTTCTCTAGGCATTTTGGTCTTCTGAACTCTCACCAGAATCATCCATTAAGCTCTGATTACAAAAATCTAAGGCTTCTCCAGCATGCATTTTCAGACTTTTCCAAACTTCTCCCACAAATCAGTTCCAAAACTTTTGAACCACAAGATCAGATTAGTCACAGGAATGACCCCACTTCTTGGTACCAATTTCTGTATTAGCTTTTCATTAGTGTGACCAAAATACCTGACAAGAACAATTTACAGAAGGAAAAGTTTATTTTGGCTTATGGTTTAAAGGTTCAGTTAATTGACTCAATTGTTCTAGGTATAGAGTGTGGCAAAACATTATGGTGAAAGGAAATGACAGAGGAAAGCTGCTTGACTCATGGCTGCTAGAGTGTGAGAAGCCAGGGACAAAGCATATAACTCCCAAGGCATGTTATCAGTAACCTGCTTCTCCAGCTATACCCCATCTACATAAATACAACTTAGTAATCCATTCGAATTATTAATCTATCAACCATCAAATGAATTAGTCAGCTCATGAGGTTATAGCTCTCATAATCTAATCATTTCACCTCTGAAATTTTTTACATTATAAACATGAGCTTGTTGGGAGACACTTCATAACAAATGCAAAAGTAGGATAATTCCTAAAATGGCAATAATATTCTCTCCAGTAATCATTGAAACCCACAGTGGAAAAAAATCATATTAGTAGATTAATAAGGACTCTGTATTAGCTTAAGTCTCCCATTAATTCATTAATTTTTTCTAAGTGAAAGCCTATCTACCAGGTCTTGTTCTAGGGTTAAAATGATTAAAAAAAAAAACATTCTAATTCCTATGAGTTTTACACACCAAAAATAAATAAGTAAGTAAAATATATGATGTGAGATGATGTAAATACTAGAGAACAAAATAAAGTTAGAAAGCAGGATAGAGAAAGCCAGGTCAAAACTGTAACTGTAATTTTAAAAAGAGTAAACAATCGCCTTTTCCTGAAAAGATGATCTGTCAAGCAATCTCAAAATAACATGACAATGTGAGTCATACAGAACCTGGAGTCATGCATTCCCTATACAGGAAATATGCATGCAGGAGGTAAACTTGTCAATGCAACATGTAGGGAGCTCCTATAGAGAGAATTCTTGTTCTTTTACCTCTGAAGAGAAATGGGGAGTTATTAGATTTTGAAGTGAATAGTGCCATCAATAGATTATGTTTAAAATGATCACTCTGCTGCTACAATGAAAACAGAATGTATGGTGTTAGGGTTTGGGGTTCAGGCTTAGGAACAAAGGAAGAAGTACAGAAGCAAAGAGGCAGATAGATAAAAATTATAATAAATTCAGTAAACAGAAGAATACATGTTTTATTAGTTCTACTTTCAAATATTTGTTATTTAGCTGAGCATGGTGGCCCACACCTGTAATCCAAGAAGCTCAAGAGGCTGAGGCAGGAGGATTGCAAATTCAAAGCCCATTTAAAGCAACTTAGAGGTTCTAAGCAACTTAGCAAGACCAATCTCAAAATAAAAATTAAAAAGGGCTATGAATTTGGCTTAGTAGTTAAGGACCCCCAGGGTCAATCTCTGGAACCGAAAAAACAAAAAACAAAAACAATATATATATATATATATTTTCATAGTATCCTGTAATCTAGACCCACTGCATTGCTTTCAGGCACTAAAATGAAAATTCTCTATGACTTTAAAGATTTTATTTTTTTTCAAGCATATACATTGTAATGAGCAACAGTGCTCAAAAGACAAATTGGCTTTGAAACAATTCTGAATTATAATAATAGTGATGATTAATGATTATTCCACTCTTTGGGGGTAACTCTGCCAACAGGAGATGGGTTCCATTGTATCCCCATCTGTGTAGTTAAAAACACCCATGCAACAACACAGAAAGTGGTGCCACTAGCTAGTACTATGTTGCCATATTTGTCATGAAAATTTGGTGATTGTTTTATGTGACTCTGTCTTGACATAATTTGCTGAATTCTCCAAATTTTGAGACTACTGAATGCGTATCTTGCCAAGGAAAACATCATGAAGGTATGACAGGATTGCAGTTGATTGCAGTTACTGGTCTAGAGACCTGGGAAAACAAACAAAAAGGGCAATGAAATCTGATCTGCATTCAATTCCTTGCTTTCTGAATGTTTTGCCCGTATCATCATTTGGAGCAGTGGTTAGGCATGTGAGTTTTGGTATCATGATGTCTGGATTTGAATCTCAGCTTTGCTATTGGTTAGTTATATGAACTGGGTCAGTTATTTTACCTCTATTTGCCTCAGTTTCCTCTTTGACAAACTGAGATAATAATGTCCAACAAGAAGTTGAGTAAACATGCAATAAGTGCTAGCTTTTCTACTTTTCATAAACGTTCAATGGCTTGCTCTATAAATAGAATCCAACTTTAACAGGCTTAAATAGCTATTTAAAATCATATCCAAAGTGGCCCATTATCTAACAATCTAGTCTCATTTCTAATATATACTCCAGACTTCAGTCAGAATTATCAGGCAATCACAAAATATGTTACATCTTGCTTTATCTTCTTCTTGTTTAACTCCTACTTCTCTCTTCTGCTCTGTCTATACCTAAACATTTAATTTCCCCTTTTTACAAGAAAAATTCTGTTGGCATTTGAAATTTCAGCATAAAGTCACTACTCCTGTGAAATCTTTTCCAAGCATCCCTAAGCTGAATAAATCCCCTTTCTTGGGCTGCCACACTTTTTAACCCTTCTTTTGTAGCATTTGACTTGAAGTATCATCTTTTAAAAACAGCTTTTATTCTTTTAGAGCAGTTTTGGTTCATAGTAAAATCAAACTGAAAGTACAGAGATTTCCCAAATACCCTCTAACACCATATAATCACAGTCTCTTAGATATCTACATCTTCCAGTAGAAAAACATAAGTGTTGTAATTGATGAACCTATAGTAATATATCATTATCAATGAAAGTTGACAATTTACATTATGCCTTATTATTGGGGCTGTATACCCTATGGGTTTTGAGAAATATATGATGACACATACAGAATAGTTTCTGTTACCTAAAAATCCCTCTGTGTTCTATTCATGCTTTGTTGTTCATTAATTCTATCAACCACTGATCTTTTCATTGACTCCACAGTTTTACCCTTTCCCAGAATGTCATATAGTTGGAATCATATATTATATAGCCTTATTAGATGTACTTCATTCACTTAGTGATATGAATTTACTTTTCTTTCCTGTTTTTTTAGGGTTTGCTAGTTCATTTCTTTTTAGTGCTGCATAATATTCCATTGGTTGGCTAGACAAAGAGGTTTTTTAATCCATATTTTTATAGAAGAAAATTTTGGTTCATACCAATTTCAGGCAATTGTAAAAAAAAAAAATCTAAACATCTATGTGCAGGTTTCTATGTAGACATAAATTTTTGATGAATTCAGGTAAATACCAAGGAGTGTGATTACTGAATCATATGGTAATAGTATGTTTCATTTTGTAAGAAACTATCAAACTGCCTTTCAAAATGTTGTGCACATATATATTTTTTTCACTTCCACCTACAATGAATGAAAGTTCCTATAGTTCCTTAATAGCATTTGGCATGTTAATGTTTGGGATTTTGATCATTCTAAGAGGTGTGTAGATTATTTAATTTGCAGTTTCCTAACTGACATATAATGCTGAGCACCTTTTCATATATTTATTTGCCACCTGTATATCCTCCTTGTTGAAGTGCCTGTTTCAAATATTTTATCCATGTTTTTAATCAAATGGTTCATTTTCTTATTTTTGAATTTTAAGAGTCCTTTGCATATTTTGAATAACATGCCTCTATCAGATGTGTCTTTTGAAAATATTTTCTCCTTGCCTATGGTTCACCTTATAATTCTATTAAGGTGTTATCTTTTTATTCTTTCCTGTTACACTGTAAGGTCTCTGAGAGGAAGAGATCGACATTTTCATGAAAAGTAGATTGATACAAAAGCCTAGAGAGAACTTTTTGAACCAATTCAAAGTATAAATGAATATTGATATCCTCATAAGAAGCCACATAAATACAAAAGTAAGTAAAAAATAACAAAATCATATGTGTGTTTTGTAATAGCTCTAATGATTTTATTTCTTTATAGTTATAATAAGAAATATAGAAGTAGAAACAGATTGAAGAATTCTCTTGATTTCCCTTTCTTCATGAAAGCTGTCAAACTGCTCAGCCTTTAGCAATGACATATGTTAACTGTGGCCTAAATGTAGACAACATGGATATAAAAGGGCCTGAGGTCAATATTTACAAACTTATAATTGTTCACTGAGATTTGCCAACTCAAAAGAATTTATTCTCAGCATAGAAAATAAGACCTTAAGGTTCTCTTTAATTTCCTACCATATGGTAAGTGGTACTCCTCATGATTGTGACAAACAAGGCAAATACAGAGACAAGTTAATTTTTTCTGAAGTTCCAAATATTCAAAGATGTTTCTAATTAGTGGTGAACCTCTCCACCAAAAGGCACCAAAGTTTAAATCTGAATTTAATTCATAGTAAACTGAAAGTAAAGTAGGTCAGATTGTGACAGGTGTAGCCTTACTTCAACACAAAAGCACATATGGCACATACTACTTTTGGACTTTAGAAAGGCAGGTAACCAAAGGACCTCTAGTGGGTCATCAACTCATGCCTGCTGCTTTATGACACATTGATTGCATTACTCCCATCTTCACAATGTTAAGTTGAAACTCAGATACTTTGCCTCTTATAACAGTGATTGCATCAGTTAGTAGTTTGGTGCATTCTTTGGTGAGTCCTGTCATTATGAGGCTTTTCTTTTCTATCCATCTTGAATTTTCTTGCAGCAGCAAGTGCCTACTGTTAAGAATTGTCCTTACAAACTCTTTCTGTGTTTGTGGTTAGCACTTCATATTATAATTAAATAATGCAATCTTCTCATTCTTCCCTTGTTGGCATCAGTTGCCTTCAGATCTAACTTATATCTATCTTTGTTTATGAAACATATGTAAAATCCACTGATTGGAGGAATTTTCCATTTTGCTTAACTCCCCATGACTCTCCTTTTCAATCAATGTGTGATCAGTGAATCCTAAGCCTATTTCCCAATGAACTAAATCTATGGGTTCCAATAGATTCCCCTAGGGGTGTGTGTGTGTGTGTGTGTGTAACACACACACCTATAAATACATATGCATATAAAATGGGGAATTCAATAATATAATGCAGAAAAAGGAAATACTTCTCAAAGCAGATGGTTTCTGATGAGAAAAGACACAAAGAGATGGAAGCAGACAGATTTCTTTAGATAACAAAAACAAAGTAAAGATTCCTCATGCCTGTGGCAATAAAAGAATTATGTTCTAAATAAATATAAATAGTTAAAGGGAGTGATGTAGCTTGTGAGGATTAAAAGGAAATATTGTGTCATCTGTTTTATACAGGAATGTTGAAATTCAGTTCAGAAAAACAAAAAAAAAAGACCTCAGTCTAACAACAATAATAAAGTATCTTAAGATTTTAAACTTCAGTGGTAAAAATAATAATTTCAAATCACTGAAGACAATAAAAGTAGGTATTAATTGTGTAAGAAGATCTAACACTTCTTGACTGTGCCAGGATTTTGCACATCAGTAAGTATGTGCAAATACTTATAGAAAGGTGTTTATTTTTTCCCATTTTCCACATAAGAACAAATGATAGGACAGAAGTGAACACAACCACTCTCATTTTAAATCTAATGAAATCTTATAAAATTTTCAACTACTCAGGTCTTCTTAAATACTTATATTTACCTATTAACTACTACAAAACAAGACAGAATTCAATCAAACAAAAACAAAAGCAAAATTGTATTTACCAGACATGGCCTTTTAATTGAAATTGGGCTGCTGAAGTTTATAATGTACTCATTGAGTGACTACTGCATGTCTGGGCCAGGACTGAATGCCAGCAATACAATGCCTACCCTTAAGTAATATATGGTATACTGAGGAATAAATAGCTATATTCTAAGAAAGAAAACTGGCTAGAGATGGTATACTGAGGAATAAATAGCTATATTCTAAGAAAGAAAACTGGCTAGAGATGAGAACATGGTCCCTTTCTAGACAGAGTTTTAGATGAAATGATATGCTGGATCTTGAAAGATATTTTAGAAATAGAAAATTTAAAAACACTGGGGTAGGGGATATGACTCAGTGGTAGAGTGCTTGCTTAGTGTGCACAAAGCCCTGAGTTCAATACCCAGCATTGCAAAAACAAAGAAAACCAAAAAAAAAAAAAATGGGGAACTTATGTAGATGAAGCAGAAAAAACATAACTACAGAGGCCTGAAATGCTATGGGGACAGTGCAATCTGATAACCTCAATAACACCAAATAATAAGTGTTGGAGCAACAAATTTCCAATGGATAAGCTGGAGAGATGAAGAATGTACAGGCTTAATGAGGATTTTACATGCCTTCTATGGCATTTAGACACAATTTTACTGGTTAGTGGTTACCATTATTGAAAAAAAGTTCTCAAACTTTATGTTTAAAGCATGATACAACTATAAAATTAAAATGTTTTCAAATTAAAAATGAATCAATGTATAAAACAAAGAATATTCAGATTTGCCATATTCAGTATGACAGTTAATATTGTCCTGAAACTCTACTTCTACTTGTAGAGGTGATGTTTCCTTTATTTTCATGTGTGTATACTATATAGGAAGTTTTGGTATGACTAGGTTCTTCTAATTTTGCTTCAGGCATTAGCAGATTATTTAAATATAAAAGCTGCGCACATTCTTTTTGTGTTAATACAAAATGCATAATTTTATACTAATGCAAACAAAATACAAAACAAAGATGAACAGAAGCACCATTAATCAATAAGCAACATTATCCAGGTCTCATTATTTTCTTATATTTTAATATTATGAAAATAAAAATGCAGAATTAAAATTATTAACTTACATCAAAGACATACATCCTTTACATGAAAATTGCAGTAAATGTTTCACTAATGTTTAACTTCTTTACATTATTTTTTTTTT